GAATGGCTACATTGATGTGTATCAAAATCAGTGCCAGAGTAGAATTATGTTTCGCTTTATATAACAATTGCCGTGTGGTGCCGGCCTAGAATAGCACCACCCCCTTCTTATCCTGTGGGTGTCGTAAAAGGCGACTAAGGAAAAATTGTCAGAAGAAGACGGGCAGCAGCGTCTTCTACCCATCTTGGCCAGAACTGCGATCGCCAACCCGCCTGCCAAGCGTGGCGATTATGGCACAACCCCCCCTATGATACACACACCAAAGAATTGGCCCCTAGTCCCCGTCAGTCCTGCTCTTCCTAGTTACGGTAGCGGCTTTGGAAACAGGGCATGGGGTGCGAAGAATCCCCGGGGGAGACCCGGCTACCATCAACGACGACGACTGGACCTGGCAACCTACAACACGCGCACATTGAGTACCGACGCAAAGCTCACAGAATTGGAAGAAGCTATTAGTAAGTTACGCTGGGATATCATTGGGCTATCTGAAGTCCGAAGAGAGGGAGAGGACTCGATAATCCTTAATTCCGGCAACTTACTGTACTACCGGGAAGGCGACCAACAGTCCCTTGGCGGTGTCGGGTTTATTGTCCACAAGTCCCTTGTTAACAACGTGATTTCCATCGGAAGTGTGTCGACCAGGGTGGCATACCTGACACTCAGAATATCAAAACGATATTCGTTGAATGTCATTCAGGTTTATGTTCCGACCTCGACACACCCAGATGACGAAGTGGAGGCTTTGTATGAGGAGATCTCAAAAGCCATGCATAGCTACAAAACCCAGTACACGATTGTTATTGGGGACTTCAATGCAAAGTTGGGAAAGAGTTGCGGTGATGAACTGAGAGTGGGGCAATTTGGAGTTGGACAACGGAATGCCAGAGGCCGGATGTTGGTTGATTTCATGGAAAAGGAGAACCTCTATATGATGAACACCTTTTTCAGGAAATCTTCAACTGGACCTGGATGAGTCCGGACGGCAAAATAAAAAATGAGATTGACTTTATCATGTCCACGAAAAAGCATATATTCAATGATGTCTCTGTGATCAACACCGTTAAAACAGGAAGTGATCACCGGTTGGTACGAGGCACATTGAATATCAATATCCGGCTGGAAAGAACTCGACTGATAGAGTCGACGCTCCGACCAATACCTGCACAACTCCAAAACCCCGAGAGATTTCAGCTCGAACTTCAAAACCGCTTCGAAGCCCTCGAAAACTGCATAGATGTGGACGATCTAAACAACATGATGGTGGACACTGTCCGTACGGTTGGGTCCAAGTTTTTCAAAACCCACCGTACCAGAATAAAGAAACTCTCCGACAAAACACTTCAACTCATGGAACATAGAAATGAAATGAGGCTACAGAACTCAGAGGATGCAAGTCACTACAGGCGGCTAAATAGGCAGATATCGAAGTCTTTGACTAGCGACATACGCCAATTTAATACAGAGCGTATTAAAGAGGCCATTAAGCGGAACAAAGGCTCCAAGGTGTTCGCGAGAGATCTGTCTATTGGGCAAAGCCAACTGACGAAGCTAAAGACTGATGACGGTAGCATCATTTCATCTAAGCCTGAAATCCTGAGGGAGATAGAGAGTTTCTATCGACAGCTATACTCCACGAAAGCACCTGTTGAAAGCAAGGTTAGAGACCCCAGAGCCAAGCTTACCCGACATTATACCGATGATATCCCGGACGTCAGCCTGTATGAGATTAGTGTGGCTCTCAAACAACTCAAGAACAACAAAGCGGCGGGCGATGATGGAATCACTACAGAACTTCTGAGAGCGGGTGGCAAGCCGATACTTAAAGTCCTCCAGAAGCTTTTCAATTCTGTCATCGTCGAAGGTCAAACGCCGAAGGCATGGGGCAGAGGCGAGGTCGTTCTGTTCTTCAAAAAGGGTGATAAAACACTCTTGAAGAACTATCGGCCAATCTCGCTTCTGAGCCATATCTATAAGTTGTTTTCGAGAGTTATCACGAATCGTCTCGCTCGCAGGTTTGACGACTTCCAACCTCCCGAACAAGCCGGTTTCCGAAAGGGTTTTAGTACCATAGACCACATCCATACGCTGCAGCAGGTTATACAGAAGACCGAGGAGTATAACCGGCCACTTTGCTTAGCGTTTGTGGACTTTGAGAAGGCCTTTAATTCGATCGAGACCTGAGCGGTGCTGCAGTCTCTCCAAAGGTACCAAATAGACTATAGGTATATAGAGGTGTTAAGGTACTTATACAAAA